TAGAGAAGAAAGGAAAATTGCATGGTTAGTGCTTTGTTGCTTTTCTCATTTCAAAAAAAAAATAATAATTTTCATCTAACGTATAGAAAAGTACGAGCGCAAAACGCTGGATAAACCGAAAAATGTAACAAGCTCCAAGCCGAAGAGGTGACATGCATTTGGAGCTTTGCACACGAATAACTTCAAAGCAGCATCCAAAATATTGAGCTTTATAGACCATCAAAAACACTCAGATCTCTCTCAATCATTTCAGAACAATTATATCTCTACGTTTGTGCTTAAATCTTTAAAAATGTGGACTGATCTGCATATCCGAAGTGGCAAATACAAGTGTTCGCTCTATACCGCTCTCCATACGATCGTGAAGTCAGTAGAGAGACAGAGGTCGAAACCGACACTGTTCAGCTCATAAATCGCATGCTCTACAACAAAACTGTCGCGACGGAGTAGAGCAGTTGCCCCCCCCAAAACCATACAGTTAATAATTGCATGCCACAGGGTGTTATGCTCGCGCTCCTTCTTTGGTTTGTGGTCATAAAAAACCTGCTAGAGCTGGATTGGAAAAACGGCACTGGCGAGGGCTGAGGCTGAGGTTACACTTTCTGTGAGGGTTCAATTTCTATATATCAGCCTTGATATGTCCCAAGTATTTTTGAACCTGATGAGAAAGTTCCCTGCATACGGTGGATTCGCTGAGAATTCTTGTAGGACAAAATGTATTTTTCTCACTAGAAATTTCATACAACTTGTTGGATAATAGATGGGACTCTTCGCATTTAATTTCTTCACCTCCTCTACGAAACCGTATTTAAGCGCATAAATGCATTAGAGAAGAAAAAAAGAAAGTTGAAGACTATACAGTGACTATACAGAGCCGCTCTCATTGGAGACAGGCACGCTAAGACCACTCCCGCTCAGCTGTCTAATGTGATGCTGCAGGTAGTCTGTGGATGGAAAAGCTTAAACGCACAACACAGTCAAGATATCCTATACGGCTGGCTCAAATCGTATAGGTCCTCTTCCCGATTCAACGCGAGTTCGTAAGACCATCGCTCCATGGTTACACTGCTATCCCTTGCATAACCACTGACGGGATACTGAGAGCTGGTAGAAAACTACTTCTAAACAAGGGGTCTGATCGTGTATCGAATAAAGCCCTTTTAAAAGTCTTTGAGATATAGCCATGCCCATTTGCAAGCGCTTTTAGTACGTGCCTTCTAGAACTGGTCCTTATTCCGAAAAACCAAATCCGACTGCGCCTGCTGATTACCGGCCACTGTGTATGCTCGACTCCAAGGGGCGGGAGGCGGAAATCTGAAGGCGCTGACTTTTACACCGAAGGTTCGAAGCTCGACAGAATTGTTTATATGGCAGGGTTTTTTACAGACAAACTTTTATCAACCTCAAACAAACAAGCAATCATTAGCTGCCGTCTTACCAAGCGCACATGTCAGAGCTGGAGGTGATTCTCGAGATTGAGGCGTTCATCTTAGGCAGCAAAGTGAACTCTACTAAACCTCACAACAGGAGGTTTCATGCACCATATAGTATTTGGCCTCCTGTAGAGTGCCTTACAAATCGCTACACATAATTTCGATCTCAACAAATCTTTTGGCGTGTTAAAAAAAAGTAATACTCACAGAGGCTTGTTACATGCCCTTAATACACTCAATTTGATATTGTATATCAGGGGTTTTTATGAATGAAACTCGTATTTAAGATCCACCTTTTATTCGTTGAGGTTTTTGACAAACGAAATGCAGCGTAGGGATTTCGGGCATCCCACAAAAGCCTATCAAAGACCCAACCCAAATACGCTCTGCATTAAGGTGAAGTAGTAGTATTGAAAATCTCTCGCAAACACCTTCTGTTTTAGAGAATGTACGCTTTTTGCAAGTGGTTGACATGAACCTCAGTCTAACAGTCAGTTCTAACTTTGAACATCGCTCGGGAGCTCTCTCCGCAATCCTGACAACCGTCACGGCTAACAATTTAAGAGCCTTCCGATATTCGATCATCTGCTTCAGTGGGTTGAAAACTCGTTTTAATGTGGACCGATAGTGTCTCAGATGTTGGTTGAAAGCAAAAATTGAAAGCAGAGTTTAACACAGATTTCCCAATTATGTCAGGTTACAGGAACTTACTTCGTGGAGCTCAATGACAATTTTTGCCTCACCTAAAATAGGAATATTTTATTCAGAATTTTGAAATTTCGCGTCCTCGTTACTCAACTGGTCAAGGCAAAGAGCGTGTTTTTTTTTTAAACAAAGTAGCTTTTTCGAAGACTGACGGCAGATAATTCAGTTTCATTGCGGTAAACGAACCCTGCATAATCGGTAGTATATGTTTTGGTTTATCAAAGGCTGAAAGGATCACATAAGAAGTATGTTAAATTGTATACATCTCTGAGGGTATTTGCCGTAATATTTCTTTTAGAACTAAAGGACTTCAATGGCATATTTATTCCNCTCTAAACAAAGCTCCAGGGTCTTATGGTGGCCCGAATATAGCCCTTTAAAAAGTCATTGAGATATAGCCGTGCCCATTTGCAAGCACTTTCAATACGTGCCTTCTAGAACTGGTCCTTATACCGAAAAATCAAATCCGACGGCCACTGTGTATGCTCGACTCCACGGGGACGGGAGACGGAAATCTGAAGGCGCTCACTTTTACACCAATGGTTCGAAGCTCGGGAGCTCTCTCCACAATCCTGATAAACGTCGCGGCTAACAATTTAAGAGCCTTCCGATATTCGATCACCTGCTTCAATGGGTTGAAAACTCGTTTTAATGTGGACCGATAATGTCTCAGATGTTGGTTGAAAGCAAAAATTGAAACCAGAGTTTAACACAGATTTCCCAATTAAATATGTCAGGTTACAGGAACTTACTTCGTGGAGCTCAATGACAATTTTTGCCTCACCTAAAATAGGAATATTTTATTCAGAATTTTGAAATTTCGTGTCCTCGTTACTCAACTGGTCAAGGCAAAGAGCGTGTTTTTTTTTTAAAACAAAGTAGCTTTTTCGAAGACTGACGGCAGATAATTCAGTTTCATTGCGGTAAACGAACCCTGCATAATCGATAGTCTATGTTTTGGTTTATGAAAGGTTGAAAGGATCACATAAGAAGTGTGTTAAATTGTATACATCTCTGAGGTTATTAGCCGTAATATTTCTTTTAGAACTAAAGGACTTCAATGGCATATTTATTCCTAAATAACCAAGAAGGCAGGTGAAATGGCAAAAGTACATTCGAAATGTCTAATATTACTTAGTATTGAGTGCCAAATTCGATCGAATGAAAAATTAATCAACTATCAGTTCTAGATTTAGTAGCAGCTTCCATTAAAAAAAAAAAAAAAAAAAAAAAAAAACCGAAGCTTCGGAAAGTGTGTTTGAATTCTGTTTGTTTTTTATAATTTTTAAATATGGGCAGTAAGAAATATTCGCTTGCATTTTACATCGTACTCTCTTATGAATGCTACTTTTTGCGGCTCTTTTTTTAATGAAAGCAATATTCCCAATTCTAATCGTACAGTTTTTCCAAAAAAAAAAAAAACACATTTGATATTAAGCTTCCCTAAACTTAGCCTAACACTCTACTTAATGCTATAACTACAGGCATACACACATGCATACGTAGCTACCGAATTGCCTACGCAATTATACACACACGCTTTAGATACTTACTCACAAATCTTGCAATCCCCTTATCAGCAAACACTCTCCAACTCCGCCACACCCGCCTGTTGCATGGCCTGTCGCTTGCGATACTCGTAGAATTCTTCACGCATCGCCTGCAGTCGCGCTTCTACATTATCGTAGCGTGAGAAACGTGTTTTTCGCATTGGACCGCCATACGTCGCTGCGCCTGATGTAAGCGCGCTACTGGTAGCGTGTTGGAAAATGCCCGCACTGCTTAGAGGGCCAAGCGTATGATGGCCGGTTGTATCTACGTGCAGATTGAGATCTTCGCGCAGCAGACCGCCTGTAGGTGTGGATACACTGGGCGTTGGCGTCGCCGGGTCAAACTCGTAGTGGCCATCCACACTGCCCACATCAACCGATTTCGGTAGATGAACATTGTCGGTGGCTGCGTTTAGGTCTGAGATCATACCCAGCCAGTGTTCCATTGTGTAGGGTGGCGTTGTGGGTCTTTGCTGCTGCTGCTGCTGCTGGTAGTGGTGATGGTGTTGTTGCTGCAGACTGCCTGCAGTCACGCTGCCGTAGTGAGGATAGTAGGGTAATGAGCTTGAGCCGAATAGTGATGGATGGTGTAGTTGTTGGTGGTGGTGGCTGGCTGGCGCTTGTCCCTGNTAGTGAGGATAGTAGGGTAATGAGCTTGAGCCGAATAGTGATGGATGGTGTAGTTGTTGGTGGTGGTGGCTGGCTGGCGCTTGTCCCTGCGCCTGCTGATGCAAACTCGGTTGCGCTAGACCGAAGTAGGCGCTACTGCTGAGCGGTGGCGGTGGAGGTGGTCGATATGGTGGCAGTAATCGCCATTCACTGGTGCTACCAGAGTGATGAGATCCTTGCGGGTGGTTGGAGGTATTTTTCGAGCCGAAGCCACTCGAGCTGGAGCGTGACTCTGGCGATGCTTCGAGCCCCATGGCGCCAACTGACGCCGAGCGCAGCGTGAGGTTTAAATGCGGCAGCGGTGACATTTGTTCGGGGTGTGTGCGACCAAAGAGTCGCGCGTAGTGGCGGGGATACCAGCGCGTGCGCGGACGGTAGCTATGATATGGCAGTTGGGTGCTATAGTAGTTGCGCCATGCGGGCGGTGAGGGTATTTGCAGTGGCACAAACCCATCTGACGTTAGCAAATCCTGTTGTTGCTGTTGCTGCTGTTCCTCTTGATGCTGCTGCTGGTTGTAGCGCCGTGTCTCCTCTTGTATGGTGCGCAGCGATGGTAGCTCTTGTGCATAGTAACGGTATCGGCTGAGATTGCCACTGGTGGCTGACAGTGTGGGCAACGAGCGTTCGGCTGAGCCTGGGTATACGCTACTCAAATCACTAAAATGTGTGTGCATGTGACCGCTACCGGGTGTAGCCATTGACCACGGCGAGCTGAGGAAGCCACCACTGCCAAGCGGCGCCCCTGCGTTGAGACCGCCGCCGATGTGATGATGTGTGCCGCCGCCCAGCGTGTCGTTTGGCGTGCTGGCCGGAGAGCTGGAGAAAATGCGTGAGATGCGCGAGGGTGTATAAATATTGGGTGTTAGGTTCAGTCCATGCACGTGCTGCTGGTGATACTGATGACCGCCGAATAGCGTACCACCACCGCTCAAAGTGTTGATATGCAATGGACGGCTGGCAGGTTGTGCTGGCTGCAGGTTTCGGTAAATATTGTGTCCATAGTGTCCACGATAGATGTTCTGGTAGCGTGCGCCTGTATTGCCGGCCACATCTTCCCCTGAAGGCGATGCCATGTTAGCTGCTGTAAAACCTGCCAGTCCATTATTGCTCCCGCTAACGGCGCTATTGCTTCCAACGCGCAGTAATCCGCCTAGACCCTGCAGGAAGCCACGTGCTGATCCGACAGCCGATTGCAAGCTCAACTGCGAGGGTGCTGCGACGAGAGGGCGACGCCAGGAGGCGCGCGCTGTAATGAAGTTGCGACGCGATAGAAAACCACCGTCATCGCTGGAAGAGTTTTGGGATGCGTGGCTATTGCGGCTGGTCGGAGTGGCATCCACTTCATCTATGCCATCCAGTTCATTGCCATTGGTAAGCGCATTGAGTTTGCCATTGCTGCCACTCTTTGTGCCAGCGATGACGAAGCGCCCGTCGACTGAGCGCTGAATTTGACTAACAGAGTGGAGATCACGCGCGCCGTTCTCCTCCAAGTGTGGCGAACTATAGATGGAGTGGCAGTTGGTGCAGCGATCCGGTGGCCAGATCCAGTGTAGTATGGCAATAAGTATCGTGGTTAGACTTGATATTCGGGTTTGTTTAAATCTTTGTGGAGCAGAGAGAAAGAAATGTGGAGAAGCGAAAAAAATTCAAAATTAGAATTTGCGGATATGCCAGGTTTTTTACAACTACGAGCAAGCAAGAAATATGAATGAATAATAAAAAAATGTTTTTTTATTTTTTTTTATATCTTAAAAGGGGCAAGCAGACATGCATGTATTTAGAAAAAATGTTTGCTTAGTATATAAATATTGTATTATATTATTTAAAATTTTCCGGACTGTTTGTTTTTTTTTTTTTTAATGAAAATATGGATAACATTTTATATAAATATCGCGATAATAATTGCCAATACATAAATAATGATATATAGATAGCGATACGAGTAACTATTTTCACGAATTCATAGATACCATTAAAAATAAATATATTTATATTGACAATATATACTTATGTCGATAACGAATACGATAAATGCTATACTAATATTCATCAAAATTTCTGTAATTATTTCCCAAAATATATATATTGATAAGCATGGGAATAAATTGATATTTTAATCGAAATATATTATCTTTTAATATTGAAAGCTGCCTTTATACTTTCAAATAAGTGTTTAAAAAATTTCTACATGTATCGATATTTTTTATCGAGATTATTATCGGAACATTTGTCGGAATACTTATGCATATGGTTGCCGCTATTTATATTTGCTTTATTGCGTTCAATGATTACCATTTTTACCAACATGCGTTTTAGATATATTGATTTATACTTTTGTCGAATTTATCACATATCGATTATTATCGAGATAGCTATACTAATCTAAGTAGATATTAATATCTAAACAACGAAAAATATTTATAACAATGAGTATTTATCGATATCGGGGTTATCATTACAAAGTACTTATCAATATCATTTTTTCCATATTTTGATGTCGTTTCGATATTCGATTAATTTTTGA